GCAATGCCATCATGATCAAGAGCAACATAAAGAGCATCTAAGCCAATTGCTTTTTATAATGTTCTTGTGCAATTTTGCTAAGAGTGTCAGCGCTAAGGAGAGCTCATTTCGGTCATTGGCCTTGCTTTCTATATATATATATATATATATATCTCTCTCTCTCTCTCTAAATTTTTTTTTTGTTTCTCTATCCAACCTTACGACTCCTCTCATATGCTCTGCCCTTCTTTTCCTTTCACCCATTTGCATGCTTTTTAGAGCACTTCTATGCCATGGAAAAAGGCAAGGGGAGTTATTATTCATGTGAATAGTGCATGCCTTAGCAATTTTTTTGATGCATTCCCACTCATTGTCATAGCAACCCAAGGGTAACCACTATTCACATGAGATATGAGGAGAGGAATTTGTATGGATTTTGGTGTGGGTACCCAAGCATCTTATAATCTACTTTGAGTACAAAATATAAAAGAGAAGAAAGGTTAAGTTTTTACCCTTGTAGACTTTTCTCGGAGAACCAAGAATGATCACCTTGTTGGAAAGGTCTTCAATCTCCTCTTAGAATGTAGATTCCTCAATTAAGAGGCTCCAAAGTAGAAGCCCTCTACCTCACCACACCAAAATGGACAAAAGCTGGAGATAAGATCAACCAAGAGGCCTTAGATGCTAGACTATCTCTTAGTTGGTCCTTTTTTTGGCTAAGAAGATGAGAGGGAGTTTCACCTACACATCAACACTTCACGGTTTGGAGGCCAAAAACCCTAACTTGAAAAATGTCAAAGTGTGGCTTTATAGCCAACAAAAGATTATGAGAAAATTTTGGTTCTATCTCTTCGTGGGCTCCTCTTGGGCTTATTTAACTTGTGTTTTCATACAACACATGTTCCTTGATAGGATCCCATGGTTGTTTTAGTCTTTTTGTAATCTAGCCAACCTACTATATTGTTGATTCAATTCTTAACAACTAAAATGAGTTATTAAAAACAGCAACTTTAATTCTCGCAAGTGCACGAACCGTTTATAGTATAGCTTATGTAAATACGAGGTCGATCCCACGGAGAATGGTAACTTGGTTCCAAGTTAAATTGCTTTGAATGCTAGGAAAAACATAGAACAAAGAAACTGACTAACTAGCTAAAGGCAAGGTCGAATTCAACAATGCCTCTTGCTAATTACTCAAGGTCTAGGACCGAATCCTAGCACCACACATGCACTCGAAATGGGGGGTTTTGTTGTTGAAATGAAAAGAAGAAAGTGAAATGAAAGTGCTCAAAAGTAAACACTGAACAGATTGTGAAACAATAATTGGGAGGTGTTAGAGCTTTGGAATCCACCACAATTTTTCCTATCCAAGTTATGAATGCATAGAAATTGACTCAAGCTTCATCAA